TTTAAAACATAGAATCTACATGTATGAAGTATGTGAAGACAAATTTAATGATATATTTGCAGTTGCTATACTCTGAAAATTGTAAAAAATACTGCTGAAAGAAATTAATGAGTTGAATAAATGAAGTGGTTCCACAGGTTCATGACCCAGAGGTCTCAACTCTCGGGATGGCAGTTCTTTCCAGAATGATCTAGTCAACACGGTCCCATCCACAAGTTATGAGAGATGCTGATACTAGAGAAGAGCTGCAGATCATGGGAACGCACACACTCTGCTGAGATGTCTGCCCACAGTGACTATCAGCCCTAGCTGTTAGACCGCCTCTATCATCTGACCATGTCACTGATCCACTAGGGTGCATGCATGTGAACCTCATGCTTCCTCGGGCAAGCACCCAGCTCMGACATGCACAGGAGATCACAATCAGGCCACCACAGTGTACAGCTGTGCAAGAGAGTATAGTCCAGGAAAAGGAATCATAAAATCAAACAGAAACATCCAAAATTCAAAATTAGATAAGAAAGGTTTAAACAAATCTGTCACGACCAAGATCAAACCATTTCTCCCAATTCACTCAGCCCTGTCTTGAGATTGCCACATCCTAAAGCCCATGAAATGCTTGACTGTGGACCAAGAATATCGACGGCCCCATCATGGGAACAGGCAGTGTCCCCAAGCCAAGCCCCTCAAGTGCCCAGTGGCCACAACAGTGATGCTCAGCATGAGCTGAGCTCTACCAAGAAGCCAAATGTCTACAGGGAAGTGGGGGTTAGGGAGGGTGTACAGAAAAGCCTATTCACCAACATCCTCTGGGAAACAGAATCAGCAACCAGCATGCTGAAGGTTTAAATCCTTTAATTTAAATCATTTTTAATCACTCCAGGTCAATGGTCAGTTTTGAGGCAAAGAAAGAAAACAATTCCCTTTCCGTAAATTTCATGGTACTCATCTCTCTGAAAGAGAAACTTTAAATCACTTTTATTTAAACTCTGAGGACTAGCACTATACAGAAACCTCTTATTTATTACAAATGCTTTTACATTGTAGAAATACAAACAAGATTTTTTAATTTTAAAAAATAAATAAATTCCTTTTAAAAATAACAAGCACAAACTTTTTAAGTCAATGTGCTCAGTTAATAAAACACACACGGCAGAAGCCCCTGGCTTTGAGTGGATGACATGGCAGTGTCCACAGTGACAGCACTTGGAAGGCTGAGGCAGGAGGCGAACTAGGGTCTAGAGTTCAAGGTCAGCTGGGCAACACAGCAAAATGGGCAAAAGGAGGGAGGGAAGAGGAAGGAAACACCTGGGCCAAGCTGCACAGAGTCACCAAGGTGCCAGCTCCTCAGGATGCCACAGGCCCAGGGGACTCTCTCAGCCCAGCTCAGTTGCAGCTGCTGTCGCAGCCCCAGGCCCGAGTTTCGCTCACTCCAGCACTCCAGGCTCGCTGTGACGTCCACAACGGGCTTTCTGCAAATGTCTGTGTCTAGCCCTAAAGAAGTACAGGAAAACGATTTTCACATCTGTAGAAAAGCACCTGTTGGCGGCGCAGGAGAGGGGGCCTCATTGAGCCTCGCTCTCGACACCGCACCTCACCATCCATGGCTCCCTCCCCTCCTCCAAGCAGCTTCAAGGTCACAACTTCATGTCACTGCCCACAGAATGGAAATCACACAAAATCTGAATTTATGGCACACTGACATAAAACCTATGAATTCACAGAAGTTAACAGAAGGGGGAAAAGAATGCCCACTTCAGAGAATCCAAGACCATTTTCTTTATCCTCAAGTGGAGCACCACTGCTGGATCAGATTCCAACCAACCTCACAAACAAGTTGATTACAAGGATTAAGCTCTAACTTCAAAGAAAACGGGACTTTTCTTCTCTTTTTTTTTCCTTGAATTTATTTAAAGAATTTCATCCAGGTGTAGAATCTGAAAATCTGAATCTGAAATGCCAGCCAAGGCTGGCAGTACTCCACCACCTCTGCATTCCAAGAAGGGAAAAGAGTAAGTAAATAACTCTGTTGATAGCAGACTGGTCCAGGCCAGTTTTAACTAGAAATTACCAACAAGCAGAGTGAACCTGTGTGTGCAAAGGGCTCAATGGTGCATGCTCCTGGCTGTAGGGTCTGGGCCACATACACACTCTGCAAATGAAGGACGTGTGGCCTCCCAGGGGACAGCTGCTAAAGCAGCTCCAGAGGCCTCCTTACATCTCAAAGATCCCCATGGACCTGCCTTTATCTGTGAGATTACACACCCAGTTCTCAGTAAATCTAAACCACAAACAAGCAGTGGGCCCAAGGAATTATAGGTATTTTTAACAGCATTTGACTTAAGCTAGCTGGGCGAGGTGGCACTTGCCCGTAATCCTAGCAGCTCCAGAGGCTAAGGCAGGAAGATCATGAGTTCAAAGCCAGCCTCAGCAACTGCGAGGCACTGAGCAACTCCGTGAGACTCTGTCTCTAAATAAAACACAAAATAGGGCTGGGATGTGGCTCAGTGGTTGACTGTTCCTGAGTTCAATCCCCAGTACCATAAATAAATAAAGAAAGAAGATAAGCTAATCTATATACTTCTTTCACTTTAAATATCTGAGGTCCAAAATAAACAATTCATAGAAGTACCTTACTACTCAAAGGTCAACCAATTTTTACCTGCTTTGGGAGACATTTCCACACTTTGCTGCCCACATCTTCGATGTTTAACTGCCATTTGATGAAACGTGTCTACGCATTAGTGACTTTCACTATGTCCTGGGATGGAGTTCTAATCTATCCTAAAGTCTCAGAGAGCCTGGACCTGGTCACCACCACACTTGCAGGACCCTGGATGTCACTTCCTGACTATGTTTTGCAGATGAATAAACCAGACCAAGAAGCAGCTGCACGGCTTGGTTGAGCATGTATGGCTTGGCTGAGCATGTACGCAGGGTGACAGTAACACCCAGAGTCCTGCACACCTTGCCCAGTAAGATGGAGCTCCTAAACAAGGCGCTCAAGGCTGAGCCACAGCTGGCGCTCCTCCTTCTCTAAGCTCCTCCTCACATGGGGTCAACTCCCTCCCTAGCCCAGACAAGACCACCACCAAGCACTGATGGTGGGATTCCAGTTACAGATCAGACACCACTCTCCTGGCTCATGAGGTCAGCCCGCCCCAAACACAAGAGCAGGAGCAACGGAAGCCTGGGGCAGCCATCCTGGGAACAAACGCACAAGGCTCTCAGGGCAGGGGCTGCTGTACCCTTCTGTTTCACCCTAGAGCAATGAGCAGAGGTGACGAGATGCAGGCCGAGGTGGCAGCCAYGGGACAGACATCACCATGATTTCCTGGCAAGAGCCAAGGAGGCTGAGATGCACTCCAGCACAGGGACAGTTGCCTGACAGAGACTTCCCAAGCACCACCTGGGCACAGCACACACTTCTGACTCTGAACCCAGAGTCTTGGTCCATTCAACACAAAACATTTTACACAGTTTTAATATGACTTGAACTTTCCAGGAACTCAACTATAAGTCTAAAAAGAAAATCATCCTTTCCTTTAATTTGAAACTTCCTGCTCACCATTCTGCAATATTCTCCCACCAGCTGGTATCTATAACGTCAACATAGCCCCTGGGCCAGTCTRCACTAAATGAGCACAAACAGCACTGCACAGGGTCTCATCATGGCTGACCATTTGGCACAAAATGTGTTACTTTATATGATATACAACTGTCCTTTTATTCCACCTTCACATTACATTTAAGACAGTCTATTAATTTTTTATTTATAATTCTTACTTCCTACACATCACATTTTAGAATACAGGGGTATTCTAAAAATTGTACTAAAAAGGTACTAGATCCTTAGGTGTGCAAGCCTAAGAGAGACAGCGTGCCAGCAGCGTCTGTGAGGAGAAAACATGGTGAGCTCTGCGACACCCACCTCAGAGAAACTCCAGCAATGATGCTCACCTGGCAGTTGGGACCTGAGAGGCCAAGATTCCTTCAGTGCCAGCTGCAGATCAGGGCCACCAGGCAGTGCAGCAAACATACCAGGGAGGCACGTGAATCCACAGCCCAGTAGGTATCCTCAGAGCTGCCCCAAACACACCAGGACAGGTGAAGCCCTGACCTTCCTGAGCATCTCTGAGCATCCCCAGGCCCCTCCTCTCCCTTCCCACACTCCCTCAGAAGTCCACGGAGCACCTGATGTTGCTCTGGCCACCAGCACACAAGGGAAAGGTGCTACAGCAGCCACTGGACACACCATCATCAAGGCCACTACAGCCCTTCCAGGTCATGGCTCCCGCTGTCACCCATCAACACAGGGCAGGAGGCTGCTGTCTTTCCATGGACTCAAGAGAACAGCCCTAAGTAGGAGGATTCCAAGCCCTCACCAAGTACAAAGACACAACTTTTGTGCCCACTGCCACAAACATGACTTCTTCTTAGCCAGCTGTGAGAAAGGGCAGCAATGCCAACAGGACTCATGGTCACTGATGCCCAGAGCCTGAGTCTTAGCTCACCTCCTGGCACACTGCCTGGGCCTGCAGAATACAAGCAGGTGGAAGACCTGAGACATCTTTCCAATCCAACCAAGTTACCCACAGAGCTTCAACACAAACAGTGCACCAACTGCTTCACAGGTCTCTAAGATGAGGGTCTAAATATTTTCTAACAGGCACAATAAAAGCTACAGATTTGAATGGAAAGTTTATAAACATAAACTCTGTAGAAAAAATATCTAAAAGACCAGTCAGATAGAGATAGAAAAAAGCAAATGTACGTCTGCAAAGATTTGGTAGTTAGGTACACAGAAAAGATATATCAGCTTTATGTCAGAAAGAAAAGCTCCAGAAGGAGCCTGTATTTGGTTTTGGTCTAAGTGAAATCAGCAGCTAGGAACCACGGAGTCAGATACCCAGTATCTATGGCAGACGAAGTAACAACAGGAGCCCGGGCAAGGACCTGAGCGTTTTTCCCACAGTGGCCCGAAGCTCCTCTGTCCTTACCATCGCACTTTGTTGCAGGTCTGAGTGGCGCCAAGTGGAGAGCCCGCCACCATGGGGACCTGGATAGGGCTATGCTGTTTGTTGGTGACCAGGTCCAGCTTCTCCTCCAACGATTTGCAAGTAGCTTCCAGGGCTTGCAGCTTGGCCTCAATACTATCCAACCGTAAGCATATTGTCTGGTTTATGGAGTACAGGAAAGACTGGAAGTGAAGAAGAGAAACTTTAGGAAGGATATCCTCAACTATGAGAAGGCAGCTCTAAGAACTCCAAACCGCTACGGCGGGATGGCAACGTTCCGGCAGACCACCCCTACAGTGGGACTGGCTTTACAAGCACACTCCAGAAGCATGTAACAAGTGCAGTCTTCTGCACCAGAAACACGTCTCCCTGATCATGGTTTTACTCCATGTGCAGTTGAAATTCTCAGTTTGCACAAACCCATGTAATAAACAACTTATGGGGTCCTTAACATGTTACTGTATTAGTCAGTAAGTTCACACAGAAAACTAACAATGAAAACAGATTGCATGTAACATCCGAAAGGTCCAAAAACCACAAGCCCTGCATACCCATATCATGCCAGCTGCCCTGAAAAGATGACTGATGCAGTGTGCTCTGATGTGAGTCCAGTCGCCACCTTCCTGTGGAATTTTGGAACGGCAAGCCTGCCACCTGGTGGCCAGCACAAGCAGCACCACATGTCTTGAGTCAGCACCACCTTGCAGGGCTCCACATCCAGAAAGGATAGACACAGGACAGGCAGGAGGACTCTACTCTCCACCAGCCACCCTGCTAGGAGCCACCAGCAACAGAGATCCCCAAACTGGAGCTCAGGTGCTGGTTAGTGGCAGGGCCCCACTGGTCAACACTGAAAATAGAGAAGAATGGGAAGAACATGGTCTCGTCTCTTCCTTCTCCTAGTCGGCCGTGACTGAAGGCTTGAGTGCCCAAGTGGACACACTGGAAGGGAGGAGATAGGCCAGGAAGCAGCAGTGATTGCCTCTAGCACATGGGTCCTGGAGGCACAGGTAGGTGGAAGGACCCACATGCTGGAGGCAATCACAGAATACCAAAAGTATAGCAGTAGCATACATTGTGTCACACTCCTGATATCAAACCTGGGTGGAGAGAACCAACACTCTTTTTTTTTTTTTTAAAGTTGGTAATATTTTAAAGCTCCTGTTTTTAGACTATACACAGACCAGTCTGTTGGAACTTTTTTTTTTTTTAAAGAGAGAGAGAGAGAGAATTTTAATTTTTTTTTTTTAAGTTTTCGGTGGACACAACAACTTTGTTTGTATGTGGTGCTGAGGATCGAACCCGGGCCGCACACATGCCAGGTGAGCGTGCTACTGCTTGAGCCACATCCCCAGCCCCCGAGAACCAACACTCTTTTTTTTTTTTTTTTTTTTTTTTTTTTACATTTTTACCTTAGTTCTCGGCAGACACAATATCTTTATTGGTATACGGTGCTGAGGATCGAACCCGGGTCGCACGCACGCCAGGTGAGCGCGCTACCGCTGAGCCACATCCCCAGCGCCGAACCAACACTCTTGACAGAGCACCTTGACAGGCTGAGCTGCTCTGAAGAGCATGTGCCTCTGCCTCCTGCCCAGGTGTGCAGGAAGTGAGGAGCTCCCACCGTCCACACACCTCACTTCCACTCAGCCACACTCCCTGCAAGACTCCACTCAAGAGTGCGCTGTGCAGGAGCTAGGCTGTGGCTGTAGTAGAGCTCTTGCCTAGCAAGGGTAAGGCCCTGGTGCAACCCCCAGCACTACCTAAAAAAGAGTGTACTGTGCAAAGGAAAAGGCCTAGAAACTGTTTAAATCCACCCCAATGCCAACTGCTCTCTACTGGAGCAGGCGCTTAAAGCAGTGTCCAAGAGGAAATAAGCCATGGGCATCAGGGTCCACCCCCAACACGCCATCACCAATGCGGAAGCAATGTCAGTGTGAGGGGAGACAGGCATCATCATGGGCACCAACTGTGGCTGAATCCTTGAGATAAAGGCAACCCCACTCTTTTTTATAATTTGAAGACATCAAATATCTGCCTCCCATTCTTTCAACATAGTAAAGCCACATTTTTTTAATTCTAAATTATAAATAATTCTGCCTGGGGTTTTGGCAAAAATCACTGCGACACAGTAATAAAACTACTTACCAAAGAACAAAATGAAGAAAGAGTACGGAAGAGTATTTTTAAATATATCTCTTACATGGAAGAGACAGTGGCCATAAACAGCTCAAAACTTCTCATTAACAGCCCAGGGCCCTAGCTGGGCCAGCCTGGGCTTTTAGCAGCACAGCAGCCTATGCGTGTGCAGCAGTGCCCAAGGACGACCCGGCCTCCTGCCTGTCCAGGGCCTATCTGCGGCACACCAGAACCAAGGTGGCCTGTGTGGCTTTTTACTTTAAGCATTTCTACATTATCAACAATGAACGTGTTTTTTGTTACAAATTAAACTGCACTTAAACCCCAGACCCTTTATTTTAAAATAATACAGTGTTGCTTCTCTATTCATCAGTCTGAAGTAGAAATTTCACTGTGAATGTATGTCTAAACCATCCATTTAAGCTCAGACTCCTTGGTAACAAAACGAAGGGAGCACTTCTACACAGACACAGCATGGGTAGAGGCAGTGTGTGAACAGGACCACTTTCCACATCCACCGCTCTCAAAGAGGTTCACACAAGCCTCTGACGCTGCAAATGCTGGAACCAAACAGGCAAATTCAAAGATCCACAAACAGTTTCTTGAGTGATTCCAACTTCAGGATGTTGGGACTTAAATGACAGGCACAAAAGCCATCTGTCACCAACGGGCAGCACGGCCACAGCGCTGGTCATCTTCCCCTGTCTAAAGCAGGCCTATGGATCCACAGGAAGATGCCTCAGTCTAACAGCAGTTACTCTCTCCAACTAAGAAATGGCCTTATGCTCTTCTGTAGTGGGCTGAATAATGATTCCCAGAAACAGCACATCCCAATTCCCAGAACACATGAATGAGGTCTTCACTGGGAAAAGGGTTTGTGCAAAAGTAATGAAATTGATGAAACCTCCCTGGACTAGATTACGGTGGGCCCTAGACAGAGGCTGCAGTGATGTGGGCAAGAATGGAGCCTCCCAGAGCTGGAAAAGGGGGCGGGGCCCTGCCCACACCTTSATTTTGAACTTCTAGCCTCCTGAAGTATGAAAGAATAAACTTCCATTGTTTCAAGCCACCCCATTATGGCACAAAACACTTAGGCACAATACACATAAAGATATGCATATTTTTACCTTTATAGAGGGATCCTGGCAATTGATTTCTAGCCGCTGGCGTTTCAAAGCAGGTTCATCTTCATCTGTCACCACATGATTCTCCAGGACAACTGAAAAATCAATGACGGACACAGACACTTTAACATGAAAAGTTTTTTAGAGGTCTTTTAACATGAAGACAGTACACAGCACTGACAGCTTCACATTTTACTGGTGCAATGTAAAGTCTCAGGCAACTACCCAGAGCCTTCCTTAAGCCCAAAGAACACTGAAGACACCTAGGCAGGTCCATCCTAACCTGTGGTGACCCTGCCACCCAACTGTAGGCCTCCCAGCCAGTGCTCCCTGAGCACCTGTGTGAATGCTGACATGCTAAAACCATTCAATTACATTTCTTTCCAACCTTAAAATAAGGTTTTGTCAGATATCTATAATTCCAAATCAAAAAACCGGCTCAGCCTCAACACACTGCCGTATGCAGAAGCCCCCCTCTACAATGTGGCTGCAGCCGGGAGCAACCCACCAGTAACTGGTCATCACAGCCTCCCTGGGGCTAAGCAAGTCAACCCAAATTCCAGGCCTACCACACCCCAACACCCTTCCTCACATCTAAAATCAAGTACAAACTGTACTGCAGATAACCACAGAGGCAAAGGCCAAAAACCATCCACCACCGCTCCATTTCTGCAAACCCCATTTCTATCTGTCTCACACTTCCAGTCCTCTTTCCAAACCTACTCCATCTTCAGCATTCACACTGTGCAATTACAGGTGGAAGTTCACAGTCCACATTTTATTGGGCCTTATGCCAACAGCACTTGCTCACTTCACTGCAGGCGCTGCTGGAAACCCCCAGCGCCCCTGGTGTACTCCTCTGACCTCTTTCTACAGGTTCACGTGTGACACGTGCTCATAGGAAAAAGGGGCAAGGACACCTAATTGCAGTTTTGTCTGCACCTCTCCTCATCTCAGCAATACAGGGACAGCGCTCTGGGTTACGGTCTTTGATGCACTCTGAATAGAAATGAGTGCCAGTATGTAAGAACACATGTCATACACGCAACATGCCACAAACACATTACAAGTACATATATGCATACATGTGAGCATATTTACTGTGGCACTTCTTTTTTTAGTTATCGATGGACCTTTATTTTATTTATTTATATGTGGTGCTGAGGACCCAACCCAGGGCCTCACACGTGCCTGGCAAGCACTCCCCCACAAGCCACAACCCCAGCCCTTACTGTGGCACTTCTGACAGCCAAAGGCCACAAGTCTGAAGCTCACAAACAGAACCACCTGTGCGCAGCCTGCAGACCATCCGCCCTCTTTGGACCACAGCCACACTGTGCAGTCAGGTGGGTGAACAGACTGGCCCTCGTTCTAGTGGCGCTGACTGACCCCAACCACCTCTCTACTACCACCAACCACCAACCCCCTCGACCACAGACACCCACTGCTATCCTGTCCAGCCCTCAGATGCCACCTTGCTTAGAAAGCCAATCCCAGAAGAGCAGGAACTCACAGCCATTCACACTGTGACCCCAACAGTCAGAGAGCCACCCCTGTAACAGACCACTCCTCCCTGCACTTTCTGCACAGGGCCGCTGCCTGGGTATGTTCAGAACACAGTGCACAGGCCTCTCGGTCCCACCGCCCCCTACACATGCCGAGTACTCCTCCCAGACCTCAACAGCAGGGAGAGCACCCGTGCCTTCAGGTCTGTGCACTCCAGACGACCCCCCTCAGAACTCAAGTGCCACGGGCTCCAGCAGGCCTGGGGCCAGGGCAGTGTGCAGAAGCAAGGGGTCTGGAGCCAAGGACCAGCTCTCATGGAGCCCAGAACTGGCCACCCACTCAGTTTCTGCACACAACTCCAGCCTTGCAGAGTTCTCACTTAACAAAGCAAAAAGGAAAGCCCGTGCCGGTGAGTGCCTGGTTAGTCAGGGTTCTTCGGACCTTAGCTGAAGCCTCCTTACTCTCACTTGAAAACTGGCAGCAATGCCAGAACTGGGGGAATGGAGATATCCTGGTGATCTTTATTTAACCTTCTAAATTCCAGAAAGGTTCACAGACTTGTCAGGGGTGACACAGCTGGTTTCTTTTTAACTACAGAAATGAAGAATGAATGCATGCCCCTTGGTAACACGGGGTACCTCACAGCTGTAAGCAAAGGTCAGCAAAGCCAGTATGTCACAGGCAGTGTTCTAGTTGGAGAACAGAGGTACACATGCCAGCGTTCCCACAGGACCTTTCTACCAGGAGTGGGACTGCAAGTGGCGGTTATTTTCTCCACTGTACTTTGCTATCTTTGTACACATTGCTCTTTACAATTATGCATGCATTACCTTCAGTATTAAACAAAACGACTCCTTGTTCATTTTAAAGCCATCAGGATCAACTGGAACAACAGGCCTGATGAAATCAACGATCTTACATACTTTCAGAAAGGTAAAATACAACATGTGGTAGGTACATGCAAGATCAAAGGAACCTAGAAATCTTTGTCTTGAATATTACTGGAAAAAAAAAAAAACTGGGAGAACATACACACCATCTAAAAGCAGCTAGGCTGCCAGGACTATGAGAGATTCTTACTTCTTCTTTCTTGACTGTCTTTCACACATTTTGGTCATGTTACACAGCATCAGAAAAACTAATACACATGCCCGATGCCGAATCAATCCAACTTGTATTTATATACTGTGGGGCATTCAAAAGTAATAAGAAGGTAATATGGAAAAGTCACAAAGCTCTTCAGTATGATCGTTGCTTCTCACTCCTGAGAATGTTCTAGATTGCATTTCCTAGTTTCAAGGAAGTTAATGGAACGCGTGTGGCCAAGGCATGTGAGTTAAATCAATGCAAACACTCTCAGGCTAGCCCCACGTTCCCATATGAACGCATCCATGCTCCCTCACTTCCAACAGCTGGTTCCAATGCCCATAGCATCTCCACTGGCCACACCCAGGGCAGGCCTCGGCCCACCCTGCCTGCCAACTGGGCTCATACTGGACTGCCTATGTCTTTTTTTTTTTTTTTTTTTTTTTTAAAGAGAGAGTGAGAGAGGAGAGAGAGAGAGAGAGAATTTTTTTTTTTTTTAATATTTATTTTTTAGTTCTCGGCGGACACAACATCTTTGTTGGTATGTGGTGCTGAGGATCGAACCCGGGCCGCACGCATGCCAGGCGAGCGCGCTACCGCTTGAGCCACATCCCCAGCCCGTGCCTATGTCTTAAGCTCTACAAGGGTCACATTTTTTTGGTGAGGGAGAATCTTAACCATGAACCTACTCTGGATGCAGACGTGGGATGCAGGGCATTTGCAGGGTGTGTGCACATGCTTCTGGACCAGAGGTGGCAAGCTCCATGTACAGATAGACAGCAGGGCCTCTGCACACAGGAGGAGCTTCACAAACAGGCCAGGAACTACACCTCCCATCATTTAAGGAACAAGAATGTGACACAACCAGGATGAAAGGGTCCCCAGCCTTCTCTGGGCATATTCTACAAAAAGATTACCTGGGAGGCAGAACTGTCGGAACTTTAATGTTCAAAGCTGCTGAAAACAGGTGATGAACCTTTTTCTTCACAGCATTGCAGTACGTATATGTGTTTTCTAAAGAAACAGTCATTCACCTGCCAGGTACGAATGGACATTTCTAAAACTGGTAGGTGTAGTGATGGTGCATCTTGTAATGAGTCAAATGACTGGGGAACAGCACCCCACGGCTGCTCTCACACCCCCAGCTCTGCTCTTTGAGCTCCTCCATACTACAATGACTTCCAGATGGAGTTTCTCCAACTAACACCTCAACACCACGTAAGTGAGACAGCATACTTTCTCACAAGACTAAACCTGCTCTGAGTTCTAACATTCCTGAAGAATGGCCAGGCAACCAAGACACTCAGTGATAGTGTTCTTGTCACTTTGAGCCCAGCCAAGCTGCAAGCACACAATTGTACAGCCTACTAAGAACTCTTGTAGCATGAGTAAGTACAGGCAAAGTTTCTTCAGAGGAGGCTCCTGTAATGCTGAGGGTCACCTCTATGCGAGGCCTCACAGTACAGTGTCATAAAGGAAGTGCCTGCTTAGCAGACAAGAAGAAGGTAGTGCTCAAGCACTGTCAGCACAGTCAGTCAAGCTGTTCTGGAAAATCTGTCGGTGTGTTACCAAAGCACTAAACATATACAAGCCAGGCACAGGGGCATACTCTGTGATCCCAGTGACTCGGGAGGCTGAGGCAGGAGGACTGTAAGTTCCAGGCCAGTCTGGGAGACTTAGAAAGACCCTCTCTCAGAATGAAAAATAAAAAGGGCTGGAGGTGTAGTGCCCTTAGGTTCAATACCTGGTAACAAAAAAAAGTTAAACATATTCAGCGATCCTGCTTCTGGGAACTTACCCTACAAAAACATTTGCTAAGACATAGGTGCAGGGTTCTTCCCTACATGACTGTACACAAAAGAAAAGCAGCAAGTAGCATGGAATGGCCCTCCAGAGGGTAGAGCTCAACACACCAGGGGATGTCCACACATAGAACACCACGTGGCTGATAAAAGAAGAACCAGCCTCACTCACCCTCACCAACACACAGCTTCCATAGTCGCTCAAACTATCAGCCTCTACCCAGGGCAAGTTGGAGATAGAAAGGTGTGGAACACAAGAGCCACAGGCTCGCATGGTGGACCCACATGCCTGTCAGAGAGTGCACGCAGGTGGCAGGATGTGCAGAGAGGGCAGGTGCTGGGCAGCTGCACATCTGGGAAGGGACTTGGGGGCCAGGGTGGTCAAGTGAGTCAAGGAGGGTTGACTGTTCACCCACCATGACTTGAATTCTCTCTTTTTTTATTTTTATTTATTTTTTTTTAAGTTGTAGTTGGACACAATATCTTTATTTTATTTATTTATTTTTATGTGGTGCTGAGGATTGAACCCAGTGCCTCACAYGTGCTAGGTGAGCGCTCTACCGCTGAGCCTCAGCCTGAGCCTCAGCCCCAGCCCCAGCCCCAGCCCCCATGACTTGAATTCTCATATGCAGCATGCATCACTGTTGCCTCTGCTTAATTTAAAAGAAAGAAAACTACTGGAATAAAGAAAATAATTTTTCACCTACTGTCCCACAGCTCTGTACCTGGATGATCAGGACTCAGGTCTTCCACTGCGATTTGAACCACATCCGCTAGGTCCTGTTCTGACATCATCCAGAAGGAGCAGAGAGAGGCCGGCCCACAAGCAGGGGTCCAGCTCACAGGGCGCTGGGTGTCTGTCACCTACAAAACAAAACCAAGAAAGCAGAGAGGAACATTAACGAGTATGACGTGTGAGCCAACAAACTCCCACCACATGTGCTGGGGAGCTCCGTACTGTGGGTCTGAACTACAGGATGCCTCCTGCCCGGACCACGCAGGGCCCACTCTGATATAGACCCAGCTTGGCAGCACCACTCGGGCTCTCTTCTCAAGGGCAGGCCCAACCCCACTGAACAGCCTCACTTTCCCACTCCACTCTGTGGTCACCTTCAAAGCCAGCTTCCTACTGTGGGTTTGGGGAACCTCACCCCACCTGCCTCCTGCAACCTCCTGCCCTTACCTGCTCCCTACAGGCCTCAGTCTGCTCTGACTGCCACACCCCAGAAAGACAGTGTCCGAGCTGCACAGCACCACTGGTCTCCAATGTGACCTCTGGTCCCATGTCCAGAATGTCTCCTAAGCAGACCCTCCATGCCTGCTCCCACACCACATGGCACTGGGATTAGGCCTCAAGAGACTTTGTTTTCCAAAAACAGAAATGAGGCCACATTATCCCAAGTACAGTCTATCAACTCAAATCTAAAAAAGTAATTTCAGAAAGTCTAGATTAGAAGGAACCTGAGCAAATAACACAATAGAATACAAATACAAAAAGGAGAGAAATGAATAAAATTTTAAGAATGTAAAGAAGAGAAATAGATGAAAAGGTTTTAAGAAAAGGTAGCACAGAAGAGAGTAAACAAAAGACCCAACATGCATTTAAGAGGAGACTCTACAGGCGAAAACAAAGCCATCAAATGAAATACTAAAAATGCAATACAAGAAAACTCTCCTGGGCCAGGGGTGGCTCAGTGATAGAAAAATATAAGGCCCCATCAACTCCCAGAAACAGCAACAGAAAAAAAGAAAACTCTCCCAAAAGCCGTTGCGGGGGCGGGGGTTAAATCACTAAGGTGGGGGATACATTCTAATAAAAATGTAAAAATGCTATTCAAAAATTTCTTTACACATCCAGGCAAAAGGCTAAATGACTTAGTAACGGTAAGAAAATTAGATGCTTACATCAGAACAGAAGAGAATGAACTAACATATTTACAATACTAAAGGAAAGGAAATGAGCTAAGAATTCTACACCAGACAAGATCACTCTCAAGCATAAAGGAACAAGCTGTGACCAACATGCTGCACTCAGTAGGTAGCATCCCATGAGCACTTCCTGAAGAACATGCTAAAAACAACTTCAGGACTCAACCCCTGGAAGAGACGCACAGGAGGTCAGTGGTGAGCTCTGGACCCACACGCAGGGTAGGCCCAGACAAACCCCACAAAGGAGACAGCACAGCGTGGACGACACCTGCTCCCAACACGGCAGAGCGGAACACCTAAATGGGAGAAAAATGGGAAGCCCATACCCAACTGTAGCAATTTCAGCAATCATATTGAGCAGCAGTGTTTACAGTCCCTTCTGGGAATGCTCAGTGTACAAATGAGAGCTATTATCATCCTAATGTCCTTCAGAGCCTGGAGAAGCAGGTACAGTGATACGAGTCAAGGAAACGCCTGGGGGCTAAGAACTGAAATCCAAGCACCAACCTCCATGCACATTCATATACACCCCACCTCTGTCTACCACAGAAGTACAGAAACGGCAATCAACAGGTGACCACCTGCACCCCTGGAGCCCAGGTCATGGTGCCAAAAGCCGTCTCTCCCCTAAGGAGACATGGAGACATGTCTGATTCCAAGTCTGAGGCAAGTGATACACAAGCTGAGCCTAGAACATCCTGCAATGTCCGATCTAAAGAAAGACCACAGAGTTGTGTCAGAAAGACTCAGGGGCCAACGAGAAGAAGCCAGTCCTCCTCAAAGGGGGAACAAATTGACCATCAATAAGGACGATAGTTGCAATGGGGTTAAATAGAAATATTTTTAAATTCATTAATTTGGAGGGTACTGGGGAACTAAGCATATTTTTTTTAAAAAATAGTAATAATATATCAAGCGTTTATCCTGTTTTCCTATACAAATTGTGTCACTCCTCTGAACAGAATTATCACAGCAGAGAAATGAAGAAGAAGAAATCGTCATAATTTTCCAATTCCTAATAATCTGGGAATCTGGACCCTGGAAAGGCAGGGCTGGTACTATCAAAAAAGAAAACCAACATCATTTGCCTTATTAGTGAGGAATACACCACTGCCCAGGTGGAAGCTCACCATACAGAACACTGGCTCTCAGTAACCTCCTGCAGCTTTTTTTTTTTTAAACATTTTGTTTTTTATTTTTTTAGTTGTAGATGGACACAATATCTTCATTTATTTATTTATTTTTATGTGGTGCTAAGGATCGAACCTAGGGCCTCACACCTGCAAGGCAAGCGCTGTACCACTGAGCCCAGCCCCTTGTGCAGTTCTAAAGAGACTGCTCCAAGTTATAGCGGTTTCACTCACTGTTTTTAACTTTCTGATGGTTCTCACACACACGCAGTAGGAACCACACTCAAACACTGGTCTTTCCTGACTTTTTGCTGATGGTGGGCAGCCAAGGTGTATACCCTAAAGGTTCCCACTGCTCTTGGTGTGCTATGCTGCTAGCCAGGGTGCTCGGCACGATGGAGCACTGATGCATTTTCAACAAAGGACCTTTTTTTTTTTGGTGGGAGTACCAGGGATTGAACTCCAGGCACTCGGCCACTGAGCCTTATCCCCAGCCCTATTTGTATATTATTTAGAGACAGAGTCTCACTGAGTTACTTAGTGCCTCACTTTTGCTCACTTTGAACTCACGATCCTCCTGCCTCAGTCTCCTGAGCCACTGGGACTACAGGTGTGTGTCATCGCACTCAGCTCAACAAAGTAGTTTACATGGCGTTCTAGAAGTGACCCAGGGCAAGTGGTGGAACAGCCATGCTACCCCTCACAGGAAATGGAGAGGTCCGGAGAACTTGCTGAACAACACTGCAGAGATTCAGACAGCAAAGCAAACCCAGACTGGGGGCATGCCACAAATAACCATTAAACCACAGCTGAGCGGTACTGGGGTRGGGAGTACCAGGGATGCACTGGTCAGCTTTTCACTGCTGTGACAAACCCCTAAAAGCAACTCAGGGGAGGACAGGTCTATTCTGGCTCTCAGTTTCAGAGGTCCAGCCCACGGTCAGCTGGCTGCATTGCTCTGGGCCTGAGGCAGGCAGAACATCATGGTGGAAGGGGGAAGGGAGGCAGGTTGCCCTGCCCACAGTGGCCAGGAAGCAGAGAGCAAGAAGCAGATGCACTCTTCCAGGACACAGCCTCAATGACTTACTTCCTCCAACAAGATCCCAGCCCCTATAGTCTCCACCACCTCCCATCAAAGCCATCAATTATTAATCCATCAAAGGATTGAACCATTGATAAGATAAGGGCCCTCATGATCCAATCACTTTCCAAGAGGCTAACCTGAACATGTCAGCACTGAGGACCAAGCCTTCCACACTTGAGCCTTTGGGGGACGTTTTAGATCCCACCATAATAAGAGGCGTGCAGAAATTAAAGGAGACTTCAAACATTAAACAAAAACAGACAAAACTACAGGACTGAAGAGTAAAAACCTGGGTAGTGGAGCTCTAAAGACAGGTGCTGTCCCACAGAAGCAAGGGCATGCCAAGAGCAAGGGTGGCCGGCCACACGCTCCTGGCCTGGGTAGTAATGGGGGTATGCGCGGCCTAGGAGGCGTCCTAGTCCACCGTCCCTCTTCTGATTTCTATGTCTGCATCATACTCAATAAAAAGGACATTTTAAAAGGGAAAATTCAAACAAACTAGGAAACAATATTTGTTGCACACAGGCCAAAGAGCTAATTTCCTTCCTTCATGGCAATAGAAAAAAGGTCACAAACCTACTCAGAGTTCACAGGACGTCATCAAGTGGCATCCTCAGCCTTCTGTGTGCCTAGTAACGCACAACACAAACGAAACATCATCTCTCCACAGGTGTGACAAAGGCCACCCAAGAGATACCATGGTAGTCTCCAAACTGCAGTGCCCAAAGCCAGCGCTGGGACTGTCTTCGGCCATCTACCCGGTAACCAGCTCCAGGTACTGGGGTCAGACAGCGGCCACCCTGCTTGACCCAGGTGAGCCTCCAGGCCCAGTGTGTGATGGTGCTAACCCATGACAGGACTTGAGGGAAGGTTGCCTGGCAGTCACATTGAGGATTCATACCTCACATGCCATAAATCCTGTCTTCTCTTCCAACCGAAGCAGCAAAGCCAAGACTAGCTAAGGGATAAACTACACTTCTTAATGAAGGCAGCAGTCCTCAGTCAGATAATGCCACCCCACCAAATGCTGCATTGGTGATTTAAGACATTTTAGGGTCACAGGCTGCTTTCAAAATATTTTTTTAATGTTTAATGTTTTAAAAGACAATATAAACTCTTTTCTGAGAAAAAGCACAAAAGACAGGCAAAGTTTTACCAAGTTCTAGAGGCTACACAAATACCACAACTGTAGGCTGCCTATCCCAGTAGCCCTACCCCTTGCTCCCCAATGAAGACCCCTAAGCAGGGCAGAAGGCCACCAGACAGATGCACCTCTAGCCTCCCCTACAGCAAGCTCTGATCATGGGACACAGAGACAGAAACCTCTGGAAACCACCTCAAAAAGAACTGGCATGTGGCCTGGGCACTTCTCCCTACCCTGTTCAGCTGGTTTCCAGGCCTGGGATGAGGATAGGACAAAAGAGCTGAAGGGTGGGGAAGCCGCAAGGAGGAGCTCGGGCCCTCACATTCACAGGACTGCCCACTGTCCTAGGCTCTCTGCCCCAGGACATCCTCATAAGAAATTAGAATAACCAGCCTGTGATTTTAAACCAGGCCTGGTAGTACACACCTATAATCCCAGTTATTCTGGAGGCTAAGGCAAGAGGATATACATTCAAGGTTATTCTAGGCAACTTAGTCAAACACTATCTCAAAATAAAACTTTAAAAAAAAAAAAGAGTTTGGGATATATCTCAGTGGTGGAGCACTTACCTAGCATG